GGTGCTACACATTTACCATGTACATATTATTAGTATGTACAGTTATGTGTCTTGTTAGTTACCATATACGGATACTGTAAGGACGTGCCTGTTTGTATCCACTTGTCCCTAAGTACTACATATTTACCATGTATATATACATTAGTAAGTACAGTAAAGTATCTAATTAGTTACCATGTACGGGCACTACCTGTAAGTACCCACACTTGTCTGTATGTACAAACAAATTACCATGCATGTACGACTGTTAAGTACAGCCGTGTTTCTTATTTGTTACCATGTACATACACTTCAGGTAAGTACCTTGTATTACCACTCATTTGCCTGTAGGTACAAGATATTTGCCATGTATGTACCAGGGAAGTACACGTACTGTAAAACTTCGACACTCATTGTGACCTTGGACCACAAAACCAGTCATAAGGGTCAAAATTTTTAAAATTGAGATTTATACATCATCTGAAAGCTGAATAAATAAACTTTGTTAGGCTTGTTAGGATATGACAACATTTAGCCGAGATACAACTATTTGAAAATCTGGAATCTGAGGGTGCAAAAAAATCTAAATGTTGAGAAAACCACCTTTAAAGTCGTCCGAATTAAGTTCTTAGCAATGCATATTACGTAAAATGAAGTTTTGATATATTTACGGTAAGAAATTTACAAAATATCTTCACGGAACATGATCTTTACTTAATATCCTAATGATTTTTGGCATAAAGGATACGATGTATTGTTGGCTATTGCTACAAATATACCCATGCTACTTATGACTGGTTTTGTGGTCCAGGGTCACATTTGGTACTTGCCTAGAAAGGTGTGTTTATGATAATAGATTACATGAACATTAGGCTTTAAGTTTGTTTTTTTTGCCATATTTTGTAAAATTATATTAAATATTTTATATTCCTAATAATAGTGTAAACTCAATCAAGTGAGAGATAAATACGTTTAAACTTTTCAAGAAATGAATTTCTACAATATTGCATGAATCACTAGAATGAGTAACTGTTTTTTGCTAATAAACACATGAGGCAACCCTCTACATTGCGAGTAAATCCCTCGCATATGCGACTAAATCTTCACTCTGGGCGACTAAATGATGTCTAATATTAGCCAATTGCTAATAAATTCTCAGATTTTACTCGCCAGTGTGTGAGTTGGAGGCTAAGTATAAGTTTAGCTCAGATATATTTTCACTTGCCGAACACTCTCTGACTGAGCGCATCAGAGTTTCACTCTCCGCTAAGCGATCTGTGCTGTTTTTCAGTTCATCTGAATGGATGTGCAACGCACCTGTATTTAACGTCCCGTAAACTCTAGTGTGAAGGCGCACGCCTCGCCGTCGCTTTGTTTCACACACACGCAGCGAGAGAGGGAGAGAGAGAATTGACGCGCTACCTATGCGCGCTACATGTAAACGATATTCCTTGTTGTATTTTGTTGTCAAAATAACGGAGTTCCTTTGGAATTCTTCCGCTTTTAAGAACTACCGCTTTCTCCTGTAGTGGGCGTTCCGCATTAGTTCCTAATACGCAAACGGCAATCTCATTGGCTGGTGCTCACCTATTATCGTCCCTGTTTTGATTTCAGCAAATCAGTTCGAGCGAACGCCACAATCTGATTAATATTCATGAATCCAGTAGCTCATAAATCCTTGGTGCGTTTTATATTGTTCTTATTAGTAGAATTCGTATCATTATTATCTTATCAGTACTTTTGTTAGTTTTTTCCCAATTTTTTTACAGAAACACTGAATGACCAAAAAAGCACCACCACCAGTCCGAAGTTCAGTTAAAATGACTAATATGCATTCATACATGGTTATCAAGTTTTAATTCTAATTACAAAAGTTATATCATTAAATAACATTGATTATCATATTATAATGCTTGACTGACTGATGTTAAGAGTGTACTTTCAGATATTTATAAAACTGTGCCATTTCACAAACAAACATATACATACATATATATAAGTCGAACTCAGGTGTGATAAACCACAGTTTTAACAGGGGGGCAAACACTTCTTCACACAGGACCATGTAGTTTTGGATTTTGTTTTCCCTTAATAATAAAAACCTTAAATAATACACACCACTGTATATATATATATATATATATCAGTCTGGCGAGTAAACAAAAAATTTTACTAGCCAATGGCGATTCAATTGCCAAGGTGTTCGTAGAGGGCTGTGAGGTCTCATTGAAAACTGTTTGCAGGGGTCTCCTGCCTGAAAAGAAGCCAGAGCTGAAGCGGGTGCTGGACCAGAGGAGACTGGAGCAGCACAGAGAGAGAGAACAAGCCTCACATCCGCCATCTGACCTCGAGCAAGAGCTGCACAAGAGACGCCAGAGACTCCTGGCGGTACGTGTTCACGGGTTCACGCATGACATCAGTTCAGACATGACAACTCTCGGAGGGATTGGCATGGTAATATACATGACAATGTTAATGTGTTTGGTCTCGGCGGAACAGATCTGCTACGCTGCTGCTGCAGAGCAAGTACCGAGACTTGCTACTGCCAATACATCCACAACATACTGCTGTGAGCATGTAAGAAATATTGGAATAACCCCCCACAGCATACATGATCATCCCGTAGCAGATCTATACAGGTGGAGCTGGGGAAGGTGGAGGGTTTCTGAAGTGCGCTGCTACTGCTACAGCAAACACTGCCAGATATTTGAATGTTGAGCAGGGAGCTCATTGGCTACCGATACAGGAGAGAACCAATCAGATGTGCCATGTGATAATGATGTCTTTATGTCATATCGAGTTAGATCTATCGGACTGCGCCATCTAGAGTTTCATGCCAGAACTTTGAAATTCAACCAAAGGCATTTAGCGCTGCTGTCAGTGAATCATGACTTGAGAACTACAACGACAACAATGGCACAATAAGAAATAAGAAAAACATACCCAAAATGCCTACCCAAAACTTTTGAACAGTGATGTACCATTAACCCTGTGAAAAACAAAAAAGAGATTTCAATTCTGTATTATGAGTATTTAGGAGACTCATTGGACCTGTGATTCTTTCCTTACAGTACGAACAGGAAGAGCTGAGACGCAGAGAGGACCTACAAAACATGCCAGAGTTTGTTCGAGTGCGTGAAAACCTGAGACACATCACCGTCACAGGCTACTGAACCAACAGAAGAACTACGAATACAACAAAACCCATTTTCTCAAAGAACTGCTTTTTGTTCTATCAGAGGGAATCATTATCATCAGCATGATTCTGTCATTTTGTGTTGTGCTCTCTCACCGCAACCAAATCTGAAATGGCTTTTAAAGTGTGCAAATGAATTTTTGTATTACCATCCAGGGCCCAAAAACTTTTAGATTAGAGTTTTTTTCCCCCCCAGCTAGTCATGCTGTGAGCAAGAGATGGTGAGAAAATGCAATAAAAATCAAGCCTGTCCGCTATTCGATATTCTGTTGCACTCGGAAATACGTCACAATACTGAATATGGTCACAATTTCTGGTTCACATGGGACTTTTTTCTGAAGTGATTTCAAATTGAGACGTGGTCACATTAGCGAAACCTAGGTGAAAATCCACTGTTCACTGTCCATTTATCAATAGTGTAGTGATGCACAAAGTCACTTCAAACTAAAGTAGCTTTACATTGCTCAACACGGCGAATTTGGATGTTCAAAATAGGGCTGCACAATTAATCGAATTTCTAATCGCGATTACAATTACAGATGCCACAATTACGTAATCCTTCAAAGCGGCAATTAATCGTTCAAAGTCCACTTATGATATTCTGAGTGCTTAAGATGTGTTTTTTCTTTATACATCTTAAGGGTTTTTCCATTGTTTTAATTTTAGTGTTAGTATAACATTATAATACCATGCATATTTTTTCTTTTTTATTATTATTTAAAGAAGAAACCAATCCAATGTACAGTTGACATTTGAGCCTTAATGCTATAGAAAGGCAATAAAAGATTTTTTCTTTTGAGTGTTTTCAGCTTGTTTATTTTCATATAAAAATACGGCAAGCAGTTGCTTCAAACAATGGTATAAACATCATTCAATGTAAATTGTGATAATCGTAATTAATAATCGCAATTACAATTTCAAGGGAATAATCAACAATTATGATTTTTGTCATAATCGTGCAGCCCTAGTTCAAAGTTTAACAAACATTAATCCAATGTGAAATCTGAATAGTAAAATGCAGAATTACACACTGCGCCAATTTTGATTGAGATGGATGCATTTTTTCCCACAGAATTTCACTGTACAAAGGTAAATATGATCACATCCTAATACATGGTTTTAATAAAACTACTCTTTTTTTAAATTAAAAAAATCATACAAGGAGACTGATCTGGTGTAAAAACTGAACAAAAACCATTTAATAAAATTTGAGGTACATTATTTACAACTCAGTCACAACACATAAAATACTAGAAATACTGCCAAACCTGGCGGCCATGTTCTCTAATCTTCAAGACAGCTTTATAATTATATGGCAAATTTGTGAGCAAAACTCACAAAGAAAACCATCTCAGGTTCTCCATCACAATGGACAACATTTGTCAAAATACTTAGGTTTATGGACATTTATCTTCAAGTTTCTTTCCTGTTAATAAACTGCTAGTCTGGCACATTCCTTTTCTTATCCATGTCAATTTATTTCAACAGATACGCTCTAAACATCTCAGGATTAAATTAACGATAAGATGGAGAATCCTATGGGTGGACATCAAGTACAGAAGGTGTATGCGGAGAATGCAGCAGAAATATCTCACTTCACCCAGAATCCCCCAGGCTCTCCGTACAAGCTGACTCTACTTCGAATCAGCCTAATAAAGGAAAAACATCTCGATCTCAAAAAGAGCAGCTTTTCAGTAACATCATCTCCCACATTTCTAATTTAAAAAGCCTTTTCAAAAGGTTAAGAAATGCTGTTTTGGCTCGACACATGACACTGATAATAAATAAATAAATAAATAGCAAGTGGAAAAAATGCATATGATCACGGGTGTCAAAGAGTCAGGGGATGCCATCCTTCCGCTGGCAACACTGAGAAGGCGGGACGCTCCAGTCGTAAATGTAGGACAGCCTCAGTTTGACTTCCTCTTTGCACAGACGCCCATCTCGCTGTAGCGTCTGATGCTTCTCCAACATGTCCTCTAAACTCTGCTTGTGAGTGACCAGGTACTTATTGCTGCAGCCGCGCGACTTGTACTCCGTGTCGAAGCGCGGATCGTGAACCCGCTTCACGTCCACGGGGGCCAACCAGGCGCCCAAGGACACGTCCTCACTCTGCCAGGTCTTTAGAAACCCCACGTTGAGACATACGTAGTGCACGAGGTCGGCGGAAAGCACGTAGCCTCCACCCAGGGCATAAGGTAAGTAGTAGTCGCACAGTTCCCAGGCACTTTCTTTCCATTTCCCGGCCGTTTTCACTCTCCCGCGGCCGGAGAAGAAGCCCCAGTAGAGTCGGCTGGGCTCCTTGGTCTTCAACTCCTCTTTGAGGAGATCCAAGCGGGCGAAGGTGTCGTCGTCGGTCTTCAGAACGAATTTAAACTCCACGTTTTGGTCCAACCAGGAGTACATGTGAAGCAGTTTCTGCGTGAGGTTCTCGTACGAATCCCGGAGGTCAGGGAGCAGGAGGAGGTCATGGTGACGGATCTGCTCGGTTCCGAGGTTCTGGAGGTCTTCTGGAGGTAAACCCTCGGTGCCAATGACAAACCAGTAGAGCACTTCGGGATCGTGTTTGGTCAGCCAGGTGCTCCGGATGATACTGCGACGCTCCGTGTACTTTGGGCCTGTGGTGATGAGAACGACTAGGAACGTGGAGAGCTCTTTGGCGTGAGGAGGACCTGCCGGCTGCTTTTGATGTGACTCGGCCCGCGGCGCCACACCTGGGAACTCGGCCGGCTTCAGCGTCTCAGACGTACATTTGGCGAGGAACAAAAGCACGACGGCGAATACGAAGAAGACACCGAGTGCCAGGGCTGTCTTGTGACGACACACGAGACGGACCAAATTCATGATGTCACTGAGAGACAGAAGGAAATCGTACCACTTTTGAAAACAAGCCTTAATTAAAATGTGTGCAACCTTAAGGCCTGTTCACACCAAGAAGGACGTTTGGTGCACTAAACATTTGAATTTCAATGAACGTCCATTAATGGGTCCGTTCAGGGGCCAGTTGCATAAATTTAGCCCCTGTGTCTTAAGAACTAGTTTGAACAAATAGCAGTTGCCAAGGGGTAATCAGTCTCACTTTTCAAATACAAATAAGACCAATCTACCTTTTCGAAACTGAATTTTAAAAAGTTATGACCAGTCTTGAAGAAGAACTTTTTAAAGGGGTCATCGGATGCCCATTTTCCACAAGTGAATACGAAGAAGACACCGAGTGCCAGGGCTGTCTTGTGACGACACACGAGACGGACCAAATTCATGATGTCACTGAGAGACAGAAGGAAATCGTACCACTTTTGAAAACAAGCCTTAATTAAAATGTGTGCAACCTTAAGGCCTGTTCACACCAAGAAGGACGTTTGGTGCACTAAACATTTGAATTTCAATGAACGTCCATTAATGGGTCCGTTCAGGGGCCAGTTGCATAAATTTAGCCCCTGTGTCTTAAGAACTAGTTTGAACAAATAGCAGTTGCCAAGGGGTAATCAGTCTCACTTTTCAAATACAAATAAGACCAATCTACCTTTTCAAAACTGAATTTTAAAAAGTTATGACCAGTCTTGAAGAAGAACTTTTTAAAGGGGTCATCGGATGCCCATTTTCCACAAGTTGATATGATTCTTTAGGGTCTTAATGAACATTCTGTAACATAGTTTGGTTAAAATTTCTCAATGGTAGTGTAAAACAACACAGACGTTTTTTTACCGCCAAAAACAGCTCTTTTAAGGGGAATGTTTTCTTGAATGCCGCTTTAAATGCAAATTAGCTCTGCTGACCACACCCCTCTCTTCCGAGCCGCTCTCTGAGAGACGGTAAACTTTAGCCGCATTCATCGTAAAACTTGCTAACTAGCACGTTATTAGGAAAGGCGATTTGTAAAGATTCATTAAAAAACCTTACACACACTTCTTCTGGACGTGAAGCTGGATCACAAATGAGGCTGTGTTTACACTGGCACAAAAAATCAGATCTTTCGCTCACATCTGACAGATCGGAATTTGTTGCACACGTGTAAACACAAAAACCTGCACGATCTGATTTTTTTTTGCATCCGATCTGAGCCACTTCCAAATGTGGATTTTAATCGGATACACATCTGATATCTGGACATCCGACCTACATCTAAACACACATATCCAATTCTCCACAGAACTCCCAATGTGAGGGCGACACGTTTGCTCATAAAGATTT